GTTAAGTGTTGATTTCAGCCTGTCCATTTGGTGATGGGAAATCCCTGTTTAAATATATTGGAAATGGACACTGTCCAATTGCAGTATAACATTTTGGCACTGGCAATATGACAAATGGGAAATGTACAACTTGTGTCGCTGCGGTCCAAGCCAGTGGGCTATTGTTACGGGGTCTGACTCATTGAAAACACAGGATGGACTAGTGGAGATAGTGGTTCCTCTCCCTTGCTCCATGGTGTTAATTTTAGCCTGTCCATTTCGTGATGGTAACGCCCTGTTTAAAGATATTGGCAATGCACCTAACCTATTGCAGATAGACAAATATCGTATAAAAAAATCACAGAAAATCACAGAAATCACATAGAGCTCTGAAACTCACCTTAACGGACTCGTCTTAACTCACTTCAACTGGATATATTATTTATTTCTTCAAAATATATACCTATTTTTTTAGCATCACGAATTGTCACTTGTACGATTTCTCGTAAACCACGATAGATACATTGCTGGTTCTATTTTTCCTTACACCGTAGGTTTATGTACTTTGACATGCAGAGTGGCGCAGTGGTCTAAGGCACTGCATCTCAGTGCTAGAGGCGTCACTACAGACCCTGGTTAGATTCCAGGCTCTATCACAATCCTGCCGATGGAGAGTCCCATAGGGCGGTGCACTATTAGCCCAGCGTCGTCCGGGTTTGGCCAGGGTAGGCCGTCATTGTAAATAAGAATTTGTTCTTAACTGACTTGCCTAGTTAAATAAAGGTTAAATAAATAAAAATTGAGCTGTATTACTGTTTTTGACCTTTAATTCCAGAAAATATGCATTGTCTTAAAGAGCGTTGAGGCCTCCACTCGATCTCGATGCTTCACAAAAAGTACAATTGGCCGCCCCTCGGCTCATCGAGTTTTGTACTTGAAGTCTGTTCCATTTCTGAGAAACATTCATGTCCATTTCGTGATGTAGTGTCCATTTGCCATCGTGGATTTTTCCGGTACTGCAAAAAAATTAAACATATCTCGGAAACCAAGCATCCTGGAAACTTTATTTTGTGTCTTCCCAGAAGACCGGGCCCCGGCGCACGACCTGAGGATGTCGGCCTGAGGATGTCGGCCTATTTTTAGGGGACCTGCGACCTAAATGTCATAACTGGACAAGAACCTGAGGGGACCTGCGACCTAAATAGGGGACCTGCGACCTAAATGTCATAACTGGACAAGAACCTGACACCCTCAGCACACAGCGGGGCAAACACCTATCTGGAGGTGACAGCATTCCCTCCCCATATGCCCCCCTAAACACAACTAAGACAAAACAACCAACAAAAATGGATCACAACTCCTGCAGCTCTGTCGGACGCTGGGTCTGTACATAGTCAATGGTAGGCTTCGAGGGGACTTCTACGGTAGGTACACCTACAGCTCATCTCTTCTTAGTACTACTGTAGATTTCTTGGCTGTGCGAAGTTGCTGGATATTGGCGATAACTGGAACACGCTGTTGTACACGTCGATCCAGAGCATCCCAAACATGCTCAATGGGTGATATGTCTGGTGAGTATGCAGGCCATGGAAGAACTGGGACATGTTCAGCTTCCAGGAATTGTGTACAGATCCTTGCAACATAGGGCCGTGCATTATCATGTTGAAACATGAGGTGATGGCGGCAGATGAATGGCACAAAAGTGGGCCTCAGGATCTCATCACAGTATCATTCAAATTGAAATTGATAAAATGTGTTCGTTGTCCGTAGCTTATGCCTGCCCATACCATAGCCCCACCGCCACCATGGGGCATTCTGTTCACAACATTGACAAAGTTGGAAAACCGCCCAGCCACACAACGCCATACACAATAAAAGGCACTCTAAAATGTGCAGTTTTGTCACACAACACAATGCCACAGGGTAAGGGTTAACCTAACCCTAACCACACAACACAATGCCACAGATGTCTCAAGTTTTGTCACACAACACAATGCCACAGATTTTTTACATTTACATTTTAGTCATTTAGCAGACACTCTTGTCCAGAGCGACTTACAGTTAGTGAGTGCATACATATTATATATATTTTTTCATACTGGCCCCCCGCGGGAATCAAACCCACAACCCTGGCGTTGCAAACACCATGCTCTACCAACATCCCTGCCTGCCATTCCCTCCCCTACCCTGGGCCAATTGTGCGCCGCCCCATGGGTCTCCCGGTCACGGCCGGCTACGACAGAGCCTGGATTCTAACCAGGATCTCTAGTGGCACAGCTAGCACTGCGATGCAGTGCCTTAGACCACTGCGCCACTCGGGAGACTACAGATGTCTCATGTTTTGTCACACAACACAATGCTACAGGTGTCTCAAGTTTTGTCTGCCATCTGCCCAGTACAGTTGAAACCAGGATTCATCCATGAAGAGCACACTTCTTCAGCGTGCCAGTGGCCATCGAAGGTGAGTATTTACCCACTGAAGTCAGTTACGATGCCAAACTGCTCTCATGTCAAGACCCTGGTGAGGACGACGAGCACGCAGATGAGCTTCCCTGAGACAGTTTCTGACAGTTTGTGCAGAAATTCTTTGGTTGTGCAAACCCACAGTTTCATCAGCTGTCCGGGTGGCTGGTCTCAGATGATCATGCAGGTGAAGAAGCCGGCTGTGGAGGTCCTGGGCTGGCGTGGTTACACGTGGTCTGTGGTTTTGAAGCTGGTTGGACGTACTGCCAAATTATTTTAAACAACGTTTTTCTCGGGCAACAGCTCTGGTGGACATTCCTGCAGTCAGCATGCCAATTGCACGATCCCTTAAAACATGAGACATCTGTGGCATTGTGTTGTGTGACAAAACTCCACATTTTAGGGCACTTTTATTGTCCCCAGCACAAGGTGCACCTGTGTAATGATCATGCTGCTTAATCAGCTTCTTGATATGCCACACCTGTCAGGTGGATGGATTATCTTGGCAAAAGAGAAATGCTCACTAACAGGGATGCAAACAAATGTGTGGCCAAAATCATAGAGAATTAAGCTTCTTGTGCGTATGGAACATTTCTGGGGTCTTTCATTTCAGCTCATGAAACATGGGAGCAACACTTTACATGGTTGCATTTATATTTTTGTTCAGTGTATATGGAGAGATCAAACACGATCACCTTCTTCCAATTTGAGTTACAACAACATAGTCGGGTAGAAGAATACAAATGGTTAAAAATGAATGAGTCTGTCCTGTAATAAATGTTTTAACCTGTCTTGTCGGGTAAAACCTTGGTATTACAGACACAACAATAAAGTCATCTTCAAGCAGCAATCTTGGTTTAAAGCGGCAACAAGCATTTGAAAGCTTTCTCCTTGCCACTGTCTCACTAAAAAGTTGAGGGATGGGGCTGGAGAAATGTAACCAGTGTCAAATTCATAGACAGCGCTACGGATATAAAGACTGACCATCCATGATATCTCTCTCTCTCTCTCTCTCTCTCTCTCTCTCTCTCTCTCTCAAAGCCTACCATTGACTATGTACACACCCAGCGTGCGACAGAGCTGCAGGAGTTGTGACCCGTTTTTGTTGGTTATGTTGTCGTAGTTGTGCCTAGGGGGGTATATGGGGGAGGGAATGCTGTCACCTCCAGGTAGGTGTTTGTCCCCCAGTGTGCTGAGGGTGTCAGGTTCTTGTCCAGTTCTGGCATTTAGGTCGCCACAGACTAGTACATGTCCCTGGGTCTGGAAATTATTGATTTCCCCCTCCAGGATGGAGAAGCTGTCATTGTTAAAGTATGGGGATTCTAGTGGGTAGATATATACAGTGGGGAGAACAAGTATTTGATACACTGCCGATTTTGCAGGTGTTCCTACTTACAAAGCATGTAGAGGTCTATAATTTTTATCATAGGTACACTTCAACTGTGAGAGACGGAATCTAAAACAAAAATCCAGAAAATCACATTGTATGATTTTTAAGTAATTAATACTGTAGAACATTAACTGTGATAGATACAGTAGAACATTAACTGTGCATTATGAGCTCTCTGACCTTGTTCTGAGAGAGAGAGAGAGAGAGAGAGAGAGAGAGAGAGAGCCCTCCTTGGACAAAGTTTATTCAGAATGCCAAAAGGCAGCTCAAACTCCAGCTGAGAAATAAAATCTAATCTAATTAAAAAATTAATTTCCCTGGATTAACTCATTTTATAAGAAGAAATCACATAACTCCCACTGAGTATTCCATTCTCAACAGATTACGGTTTGACTGCTGCAGTATAAAGGAGTATCGCTGTGTGTCTCAAGTGCCACCCTATTCCCTTCATAGTGCACTAGCTTTTACATAGAGCGCTGGTCAAAAGTAGTGCACTATATTGGGAATAGGGTGCCATAGGGAATAGGGACGCAGTCCCAGAGAGCTGGGTAAGAAGTGTTGGCACCACACTGAGAGGTACTGTAAAGTTAATTTCATTCACAGCAGGAGTAACATAGAGCAGGAAGTCATTTCAATATCAACATCTATTTATTATGAAAATAAGTGCAGGAACAATACAGTACATGCTGCGGTAATGCTACATGCTACATGCTACGGTAATGCTACATGCTACATGCTATGGTAATGCTACATGCTACCACAATCTTTTCACTTACAAGTTATTTTACACATGATAACATTCCAAGGATTTCATGAACTTTGTCATGTTAATTGTATTTTATTATTAACCTTTATTTAACCGCAGAACCCATTGAGATCAGGGTCTCATTTCTAATGGTGCCCCGAGAACAACAGTTGAAGCAATGTGACCATATATACAATCAATCAAAACAAATTTTCATTAGTCACATTGATCAGAGCCCAAAATGTAGATCACTGCATCTTCGCACTTGTCAAAGCTGTTCTCTAAACTTCAGCAATTAGAGAGAAGGGGTTCTATGGTTCTGTGTTCCAGTGTTCTATAGTTACATTCTGATTCCCTTCTCCCAAAGTGTGTACTGAACAATGGCAGAAACTCTCCCCAGCTGCTGTTTGTCTGTCCTCAGCCCTAAAAGTCTTCCTCAGCCTGGAAGGCAGGGTTGTCTCTGGTCTCCTTGTCTCCATTCTCTAATATAGACATTTGTCTTATGGGCGGTCCATGTAGAGGGTCCTTGTCGTTCTTAGCCCTGATAGGATACCTGTAGCAGAGGAATAGGAGACCACTGAAGATAAGGAAGATCGAAGCACCGACCCCAATCCAGATAGCTCCGCCTACTTCCTGTCTGAGTGGGGCGGGAGGGAGGTGGAACTCTGGGGGGAACGCTACGGTCTGATTGGTCAGGACAGATTTCACATTCCAGACTAGAGGGACCAGGAAGCTGACCCCTGTAAGGATGTACAGCCCCCCGGCCCCTGAGAATATCAGTCTGATAAAGTCATGAGTCTTCTGACCAAAATAGATGTTCCTCACTGCGTACGCACCAAGGATGTTTCCCAAGAGTCCAGTGATCACTGCTACCATGGTGACCACCTGTGCCACGGAGATCTCCACGGGAACGTACAGGTCGGCAATGCCGATTGGCTGGCAGAACTCTGAGTCGGATAGGGTGTGGCTGTAGAAACACGCCCGCCACACACCCACCCAGGCCACGCCAGAGGTTACCACGGAGACGTCCTCTACGTACCACAGCCTCCACTCGTTCTGGCCCGCAGTGGCCATGGTCAGGATCCAGCCTACACAGCCAACCACTAGGCCCAGGAACTGCCAGTGAACCGTGTGGGCCAAGTACACCATGAGGCTGTCAGAGGGTTGGTGATGTCAATGATCTGGGTTTAAGATGGACTCCTGACCTCCTGCTCACAGCTGGTCAACCCAAACACCACTGCAGAGTTCTGCAGGTTCTCTGGTCCCATGAAACCTAATGAGAGAAATGTATTAGATCCACATGTAGCGTACAGCATTATCCACAGTATATTCCCATAGTGGAGCGTACAGCATTATCCACAGTATATTCCCATAGTGGAGCGTACAGCATTATCCACAGTATATTCCCATAGTGGAGCGTACAGCATTATCCACAGTATATTCCCATAGTGGAGCGTACAGCATTATCCACAGTATATTCCCATAGTGGAGCGTACAGCATTATCCACAGTATATTCCCATAGTGGAGCGTACAGCATTATCCACAGTATATTCCCATAGTGGCCGATTCAGACTTAGGAAATGTGTCCTACACACTTCTCAGTAGTTGGTATTCAGACTTACCTTATGCAGGCGTGTAACACGCTCTGCAGGTGTGGCTGCCTTGCACACAATGAATACATTTCATTCAACCTATGAAAACGCTCCTATTTGCAGCCAACATTTTTTTAGTGGAGTTTTCATTCAATAAGGTTTTCAGTACATTTATCTTAAGCCATCCCTTTAAATACGGTGTACGTTTAATTAGAATTTTGTCAACATACTCACTACAATATATTGACAGAACTGGTTTAGAATATTAGGAATCAAAGAAAGAAAGCAATCTATTGTAAATGTATGCATATTCGTCTCCGTTTCCGCACCAATTGGTAGATTTAAAATAGATTGCTTGAGGATTATTTAGGGATAGGAAGATATTTATGAACCCTAAACTGATTTGGAGAGCCTTAATGCACAAAATATATTGATGAATAAAGAATACAGTGGTTTGATTCATCCTGAAAGTTGCCATATTCAAGTTCAATCCATTAAATATTGGAATGTGAGAAAAGCGTCCAATAGGGGTTGAACAGCAGTCCTATAAATCTACCCTAATCCTCACTGATCATGGAACTGAATGACAACGGTCCAGTCGTCATGAACTGTGTGCCAAGATCCAAAATGCTAAGTGTGGTCTGAGTTCCATAAAGGATTCAAATAGGCTACATGTCCCAAATTATTGCACAACGTTAGCCTAATATGATCCACTAATGCTAGTGATCCTCAGGAACAACGTATACGGACGTGACAGAGGAAAGAAACGGAAATGGAATGGATTGGAATTATGTAAAACGTAGGTTACAAATTGAAGGAAACTAACACTCGAGTGACAGTTATAAATGTATGTGCATATTACTGATGGTGGCTACAATAGTGGCTAATGTTTAACATTATACAAATTGTAAAAAAAATTATAATAAAAGCCTGGGCTTATATTTAAAACATTATAGAGAGCATAAATCAAATTGGTAGGTTCAGGCCTATCGTTTTGGTAGGTTCAAGCCTATAGTTTGGGTCTCCAAAATTAATCCCCACAAATTATGAGGACATACAATTACAATTCTGAATAACAGCACAGCTATTTATAGCCTACTGTACTTCATTGTGGAAAAGGGACCACAATACATGTCATATAGATATGATTTTCAGTTTCCTTCCACATGACTGGTTTGACATTCGTCTCCAGTGATCATAAGGGAAAATCATCTAAAACAATTGCTATATTTGTATTTACAACTCCTTTCTGCAAATGGCTGACTAATTTACCTAGCTCTTATCAATTTATACATTACAGTGCATGAAGAATGGTGTTATTTCTATCGGGAATATTAGATTTGTAAGAGTAAATACTGCCATCTAATGGAGATAATTAATTAATGGATTAAGACAGGAAATGTAGAAAAATTGTTCGCTTGTGCACTCGACATTGAATATAATTGTTGTATTTAAGAACATTGTGAACACAAGTCATAACGAGACTACGGCTGATCATTCATGTAACACACTAAAGCCCTATCCGCATACGATTAGCCCATTAGCCCACTAGCACGCACAATCAACAGCCGTGCTTCCTGCTCGCCTGTGCTTTAGCAGCCACCGAACTGCTACCGGACTCACTTATTGCTGTTCACTGGACCTTATGATCACTCAGCTATACAGCTGATGCCTGATGGACTGTTCCTTTATACGGTATCCCATCCTGTTTCTCTGTTTAGCCTCAGCCCAAACTTTCGTCGCCATTACCAGCTGTTGTCTTAGCTCTCTCGAATAACACCTGTGATTGCTTTATGCCTCTCTCCCATGTCAATATGCCTTGCCTATTGCTGTTTCAGTTAGTTGTTATTGTACTATTTCACTGTAGAGCCCCCAGTCCCGCTCAACCTGCCTCAGATAGCTCCTTTGTCCCACCCCCCAAGTCCCTCTCAAACTGCCTCAAATAGTTCCTTTGTTCCACCCTCCATACACGCCGAGACCGGCTCAATCGGTGCCTCCAGTGATGCTATCTCTTTCATCATTACCCAACGCTTAGGTTTACCTCCACTGTACTCATATCCTTCCATATCCTTGTCTGTACATAATGCCCTGAATCTATTCTACAACGCCCGGAAATCTGCCCCTTTTATTCTCTGTACCCAACGCACTAGAAGACCAGTTCTTAAAGCCTTTAGCCGTATCCTTATTCTATTCCTCCTCTGTTCCTCTGGTGATGTAGAGGTTAACCCAGGCCCTTTAGCCCCCAGTATCACTCCTACTCCCCAGGCGCTATCATTTGTTGACTTCTGTAACCGTAAAAGCCTTGGTTTCTTGCATGTTAACATCAGAAGCCTCCTCCCTAAGTTTGAGTTATTCACTGCGTTAGCACACTTCGCCAACCCTGATGTTCTAGCAGTGTCTGAATCCTGACTTAGGAAGGCCACCAAAAATTCAGAAATGTCCATCCCCAACTATAACATTTTCCGTCTAGATAGAATTGCCAAAGGGGGCGGAGTTGTAATCTACTGTAGAGATAGCCTGCAGAGCTCTATCGTACTATCCAGGTCTGTGCCCAAACAGTTTGAGCTTCTACTTCTAAAAATCCACCTTTCTAGAAATAAGTCTCTCACTGTTGCCGCTTGCTACAGACCCCCCTCAGCCCCCAGCTGTGCCCTGGACACCATATGTGAATTGATTGCCCCCCATTTATCCTCAGAGTTCGTACTTCTTGGTGACCTAAACTGGTATATGCTTAACACCCTGGCCGTCCTACAATCTAAACTAGATGCCCTCAATCTCACACAATTTATCAAGGAACCTACCAGGTACAACCCTAAATCCGTAAACATGGGCACCCTCATAGATATCATCCTGACTAATTTACCCTCTAAATACACCTCCACTGTCTTCAACCAGGATCTCAGCGATCACTGCCTCATTGCTTGCGTCTGTAATGGGTCCGCGGTCAAACGACCACCCCTCATCACTGTCAAACACTCCCTAAAACACTTTAGCGAGCAGGCCTTTTTAATTGACCTGGCCCGGGTATCCTGGATGGATATTGACCTCATTCTGTCAGTAGAGGATACCTGGTTGTTCTTTAAAAGTGCTTTCCTCTTCCTCATAAATAAGCATGCGCCATTCAAAAAATTCAGAACAGATATTGCCCTTGGTTCACCCCAGACTTGACTGCCCTTGACCAGCACAAAAACATCCTGTGGCGTACTGCATTAGAATCGAACAGCCCCCGCGATATGCAACTTTTCAGGGAAGGCAGGAACCAATATACACAATCAGCATTTTGCTACGGCTGGCCATGCTTTCCAGCTGGCTACCCCTACCCCCCACTTCTCCTTCGCCCAAATTCAGACAGCTGATGTTCTGAAAGAGCTGCAAAATCTGGACCCCTACAAATCAGCTGGGCTAGACAATCTGGACCCTTTCTTTCTAAAATTAGCTGCCGAAATTGTCGCAACCCCTATTACTAGCCTGTTCAACCTCTCGTCTGAGATCCCCAGAGATTGGAAAGCTGCCGCGGTCATCCTCTTCTTCAACGGGGGTGACACTCTAGATCCAAACTTTTACAGACCTATATCCATCCTGCCCTGCCTTTCGAAAGTTTTTGAAAGCAAAGTTAACAAACAGATCACCGACCATTTCGAATCCCACCGTACCTTCTCCGCTATGCAATCTGGTTTCCGAGCTGGTCATGGGTGCACCTCAGCCACGCTCAAGGTCCTAAACGATATTATAACCGCGATCGATAAAAGACAGTACTGCGCAGCCGTCTTCATCAACCTGGCCAAGTCTTTCGACTCTGTCAACCACCGCATTCTTATTGGCAGACTAAATAGCCTTGGTTTCTCAAATGACTGCCTCGCCTGATTCACCAACTACTTCTCAGATAGAGTTCAATGTGTCAAATCGGAGGGCCTGTTGTCTGGACCTCTGTTAGTCTGTATGGGGGTGCCACAGGGTTCAATTCTCGGGCCGACTCTATTCTCTGTGTATATCAATGATGTCGCTCTTGCTGCTGGTGACTCTCAGATCCACCTCTACACAGACGACACCATTTTGTATACATCTGACCCTTCATTGGACACTGTGCTAACAAACCTCCAAACGAGCTTCAATGCCATGCAACACTCCTTCTGTAGCCTCCAACTGCTCTTAAACGCTAGTAAAACGAAATGCATGCTCTTCAATCGAACGCTGCTTGCACCCGCCCACCCGATTAGAATCACTACTCTCGGCGGGTCTGACTTAGAATATGTGGACAACTTCAAATACCTAGGTGTCTGGTTAGACCGTAAACTCTCCTTCCAGACTCACATTAAGCATCTCCAATCCAAAGTTAAATCTAGAATCGGCTTCCTATTTCGCAACAAAGGCTCCTTCACTCATGCTGCCAACATGCCCTCATAAAACTGACTATCCTACCGATCCTTGACTTTGGCGATGTCATTTACAAAATAGCCTCCAACACTCTACTCAGCAAATTGGATGTAGTCTATCACAGTGCCATCCGTTTTGTCACCAAAGCCCCATATACTACCCACCATTGTGACCTGTACGCT